CATTTTGCGTACTCACAAATCAACTTGTTATCCGTTGTTCCAGGTTCGTTTTTGGAGAGAGGTTTTTTTCAGCAGCGCGAGGACGCTAACGTTTTCGGCTAACGGTTACTAACAGAAGTCCTTTTTCTCACGCTCAAAGTTCGTTTAAAACCAATCTCCTGGCTGGCTCGCCATGATGTTACAGATCTTTAGGCACACAAAAACGATTCCGTTCTCTTCCACAGGGGATATTTATTACAAAGCCACACACAATTTTTTTTAAATCGGCTGTAACAGTCCCCGCTCCCATACCGTGCCTAGCCGCGGTCCAAAACAAAAAAAACACACGTCAGTCTAGTTCAAGGCACGTACCAAGAAACTGTGCGGGGCGTTCAAATACATCTCGCAAAAAAACAACAACAATCAGAATTCAAAACAACAAGAACAAGGGTACACTAATTCATCACAATCATGCGTAACTGTAAAGTCATTAATCAAGTCTCTCACATAGGAACTAGTCTCAAATACAAAATTGAAAAAGCCGAGGCACTCAAAAAATACTAAATAATTGAGAGCCTTTAATACCACATGGCAGATAAAGTTAAAATCATGCCAGTGCGTTTTCGGCCCTTCGACATTTGATGAAGGTATTAAAGGCTTTTGATTATTTTGATTATTTTGTACTTTTTGAGTGTCTCAGCTCTTTCAACTTTGTATTTGAGACTGGTTCCTACACTGAAGCGCACAAAAAGGACAATTTTGCACAATCTCTGTACATCCAAGTAGCACTCCTTCTTTTAAAAGTAATCTCCATCTTCACTCTACACTGTGATTGGTTGAATCGATCTGACACTCGTTCAGAGGACAACAGAGGCTAGCTGATAGGAATTGGTGAGTTTTTTTTGTTTTTGTTTTTTTTGAGCTGCTTTAAAGGTCCCATATTACACACAGTCGACTCTTGTGAGCTTTAAGTCATGTCATATAATGTTGTTACCTCCTCAAAAACATACTCCCAATTGTGTTTGGTTTCATTCACACATGTTTGAGTAACACTTTATTATTACCCTGTCTACATCTCCAAAGCTCAAAATGCTCTGTTCCAACTTGTGATGTCATGAAGTCGGCCTGTAACGATAATCAATAAATCAATTAATCGTACGATAACTTTTAACGAGCTCGATAACTTTTCCGGCCGCGATAAATTCTATTTGCGTGCTTCTTTGTTTTCCTCGCTCTTTCTCGCTCTAAAAGAGGGTGAATGTTAGAGGACTTATCGCTCTCTGTGTCCTCTCGTTTAACAAGCGTCATGACAGGAGGAGAAAAAATTCAGTTTGTCGACTGGATAAAAGTTAGTTTGGTTGAAGATGTTTCGCAGCTCATCCAAGCTGCTTCCTCCATCCTCAAACCTAATTCAAAACAAACAAGAGAACAACAGGTGTATCCAGGTCAGGTCCAGAGGTGTGGAAGCTTCATTATAGCCATGAATTGTTCTGCTAATTAGACCCCACACCCTGCACAGGTCAATAGGCCGAACTAACTAACAGAAACTGTAAACAAGTAGGTGTGTTAGTTTCAGTTATTTAGCTCCTCCCTACAGATATAAGGAAGTGTCCACCAGCGTCTGACCAGAACTGAAGAAGCAGCTTGGATGAGCTGCGAAAACGTATTCAACCAAACTAACTTTTGTCCAGTCGACAAATTGATTTTTTCTCCTCATGGATTCTACCTGGACGACTGAGGGATTCTTCACACAAGCGTAATGACACTTGAACCGACGTGCGCGTGTTTATCAACACAGCGGATGCGCGCGTAGTCTGAGAGCAGAAAGCGCCGCTGTCTGTGCGACACAAGCCAACACCTCTGTCAGAGTGACAAAACAGTTCATCTCCATGCCAAAACAAGTCACGATGCCGAATCAACACTGGTGAGCGGGACACGTCTCAACAGCCACGTGTGTCAAATGCAGCGAGTGTGCAAATGACGAAAAGAAATGTCTCAGTGCCCAACAGCCGATAAACCCAAACCCGAGTGATACAACTAGCCCCGCCCCCGGGAGAACCCGAAATCCACTGAAATCCCACTAGACACCGACAGGATACCAGACAAAACAGTGGCTCCCTCATAGTGAAATAACATCCTGTGTCGCGGGTTAATACGAACATTTAAATGACCAAAATGAGCGGCCACTATATTCCAATGTAAGTCAGTGACTAAAATCACTTTTAAGGGCAGTTTTCTTACAGAGACTTAATGATCCAGTTTTATTTAATGCTTTGGTTGCGTTTGGTTCAACAATGGTTTATTGACGTGCAGTTTTGTTAACAAGTCAGACACATTACGCTGGTCCTATGTTAACAAGTCTGTTTTATCTAGACCTATTGTTTTTGTTTGTCTTGTAGTTCCTGTGTTAAATGTTCTTTAGAAAGTAAGGTTTATTGATCTTTGAAAAGGTGTATTTGCATTTTTATTCCATGGTCATTACAATAGTTGAAATTGGTCTCAAAATGTCAATATTATCGTTTATCGCAATAAATTCTTGGTCAATTAATCGTTCAGCAAAATCTGTTATCATTAGTGGTAGTTTTCAAGTGAACAGCTCCTTTTACCTTCAGTTCAGAAGAGATTCCAGGCCTGAAATGATCCAAATGATTCTAGTGAAGGTGTGTGGAGTTTTACGAGCACAATGGAGAACTTCCTGTATTACCGCATGACATCACAAGGTGGAACAGAGTGTTTTGAGTTTGAGAGAAGAACTCAGCCCTAAATATGCAGGATTTCTGTGTTAAAATTGTGTAAATGAAACAAAACACAAGTCCAAGTCTGTTTGTGATGAGAAAACGAGATTATAGCAGAACAGAAAATAATATAATAGTAACATGAACCCTTTAAACGCAAACAGAGTGATCTAAAATATGATGTTCGCTCCAACCGTAGTAGTTGTGTCCTTGGGCAAACGCACTTCAGCCGTCTTTGAATGCTGTGAGTGATTGACTAGAGCGGTCGGCGAGGCTGCAGGCAGGTTGGCAGTCTTACTCGCTTCCACGGCCGAGGTCGTTTACCACGATGTTTTATACTCAGAGAAACGACGGGACACAGAAGTCTTGTTGTGACCATGAAAGCTGCTTGTAAAGGTCTCGTATTCTCGCAAAATCTTGTCAGACTCTTGTGAGATTTAAGACATGTTAGAATGTTGTTACCTCCTCAAAAACAGACCTGGAGTTGTGTTTTGTTTCATTCACATGTTTGAGTAACATTTTATTATAAGTCTCTCATCTCTGTGCTTCTCCAAAGCTTAAAATGCTCTGTTCCAAGTTAACAGAGAGAGAAGTACTCAGCCTAAATATGCAGGTTTGTGTGTTAAACATGTGTGAATGAAACAAAACACAACTCCAGGTCTGTTTTGGATAAAGAAACAACATTAAAACAGATCAGAAAATAGCCTAATGTGAACCTTTACTCCTTCACAGTGGAGGAGTTCAAGTATCTCGGGGTCTTGTTCACGAGTGAGGGGAGGACGGAGCGTGAGATTGACAGGTCGATCGGTGCAGCGTCTGCAGTGATGCGGTCGCTGTATCGGACCGTTGTGGTGAAGAGGGAGCTGAGCAGAAAGGCAAAGCTCTTGATTTACCGGTCAATCTTTTCGTTCCTACTCTCACCTATGTTCATGAGCTCTGGGTAATGACCGAAATGACAAGATCGCGGATACAAGCGG